GGGGGGGGGGGGGAAGCATTGAAAAAAGGGAAGTTTTCTGTTGCTGGTTCTTCTCCCACATGCTTAAAGCATGAATGCTGCAAAGGTGGGATGAAAGCGGTTTGTGTCTCCTGGGGTACTTCCTTAATGACAGGAGATTTAGCTTATGGTAGTTTGTACTGTCTGTGCTGCAGCCCTTAACCTAAACATGGTGAGGCAACGCTTGTTTGCGTTACTGCCATTACCTATGTGCGTTACAAAGTCTGGCAGTAACGTGTTGCTGCATCAGCACAGAGGGCAGGGTGCTGAGCAAAACACCAGCTTTAGAATGCTGTGACAGAAAAGAAATTGTCAAAACCAGCACTACTGTGCTGTGGTTTCCAGGTTCAAGCTGGTTTAATGAAAATTGCCCTACCTTCCCTGTAGACAACTGTTCTTTCTCTACCTTTTGTATTAAGTAGCAGGCACGTTCCATCCAGAAATCACTGCAGAACAATAGTGGGAAATAACGTTTCAAGTGTTTGTTTAATTAAGCATTTTCACCCTATGAAAGACACAAATGCTGCATTCTGATTCCACAAGTAAGGCTTTTTCTTGGTCTTTGTTCTGATTATATATTTGTAAGGACAGAAGGAAGATAATATAAGATTTGTACGAGGCAGCCATCCATGCCAGTCTCTTTTCAAGCATTCTGCCCCGCTAGCTTGTCCTGGGTCACACAGGAAAAAGCTTGACCTGCAGCTGTGCAGCCCCTGTGCTTTGGAGGAAACCAGAGCCGAAGGTGGTTCTATGATGGGCAGGGATGACCTGTGGGTTGACCTGCTGGTCAAGTCCTGCCTAAGACTATGCAAGTTCCAGTGCCAGAGGGTGAGGAGCCTTCTTTTGGCCACTTAATCCCCTCTGCCAGAAGGCAGGCAGGCAAGTGTCCTCCTGTGAAGAGGACGGCAGATAGCTGGAGATGTGGCGTACGTTGCAGATGTAGTACCAGGTGCACTTTGTGCACACCCACATGCCTCCCTCAGCACACTGAGTAGTCTACTTGGGTGCTGCTGGATCCAGCCTTGTGCTGCATAGAATCACAGAATCATTTAGGTTGGAAAAGACCCTTAAGATCACTGAGTCCAACCCTTAACCCAGACTGCCAAGACCACCACTAAACCATGTCCCTAAGTGCCACATCTACCCATCTTTTAAATGCTTCTAGGGATGGTGACTCAACCACTTCCCTGGGAAGCCTGTTCCAATGCTTGATAACGGTTTTGGTGGAGACATTTTTCCTAATACCCGATCTAAACCTCACCTGGCACAATTTGAGGATGTTTCCTCTCATCTTATCACTTATTATGTGGGAGAATAGACCAGCACCCACGTCACTAGAGCCTCCTTTCGGGTAGGTGTAGAGAGCGATAATGTCATCCTTGAGCCTCCTTTTCTCTAGACTAAACAGACCCAGTTCCCTCAGCTGCTCCTCACAAGACTTGTGCTCCAGAACCTTCAGCAGCTTCTTTGTTCATCTTTGGACACGCTCCAACACCTCAGTGTCTGTCTTGTAGTGAGGGACCCAAAACTGAACAGAGTATTTGAGCTGTGGTTTCATCAGTGCTGAGTACAAGGGGATGATCACTTTCCTAGTCCACCACCCTTCCCTCCAAGAGACACATTTTCAGGTCTCTTGAACAAAAACACTCATGCTGCTCTCTACCTACCAAACCCCAAGAGCTTGAACACCCCATAACCCAGCTCCACAGACAGTGAGGGGAAAGCCCCCATTCTTTCACACATCAGTGAACATTTCCCCAAGCCTCACAAGGGCTGAGGAAGCCCAACTCAGTCTTGCCCCTGTGAAGAAATACACAAACCAGGAGTTTCAGTGAACTACATACACCCCAGTGTTTATTAACTTCAGATTAATGTGATAGGCACAAAACGCTGCATCCACGGGATATCTCCCCACACTCTAGGCTTGTTCCTTCAGCTTCTTCAGCAGCTCCCTGAGCTGCTCGATCTGGGCAGTCACGCTGCTCTTGGCGGTACCGCCCATGGCCGTGTACTGCTCCACACTGTTGACAACATTGAAGACCTGGGAGACGTCGCTGCCGATCAGGGGGCTGGGGAGGCAAAGAGAGGAGGTATCAGTGAGTGCTGGGTGCTGTTGGCTGACTTTACATGCTCACTGCCTGCAGAGACGGGGCGGGGGGGGAGTGGAGACGGAGCCTTTTTCCAAGGGGAAAAGCCTCCTGCAGCCCTGCTGCTGCACTTGTGGTGCCTGACAGTAGCTGCTTGTGGCCAACCAAAGAGTCAGCTCCAAGGGAAACCTGAGGAAGTTTGGAGGCAAACTCACTCTGGAGGGCTGGTGCCTCCAGGCCAGGGTGTGAGTTTCTACCAGTCTCTCCCAAGAGCTGGTGCCCAGGCCCTGCTGGAGCTGATGGCAGTGATGTTGTCCCCCTTTAGTGCTTTCAGGCCCAGCAGTAGCAGCACTTATATTCAGGCCAGGAGGATTTTGGGGTGCTGTTGGGCCCAGGCATTTTGGGGAAGGGCACCATGAGGAGCCCCATACGAAGGGAGGCCAATACCTGCCTGTTGAGGGAAGTGATGGCACAATAACAGTGATACGAACCTGATGCTCTTCAGGTCCTCCAGGGTGAGATTATTGATGGTGACACCTTTAGACTCGGCGAGGTGGACGGCCTTCCCAGAGGCAACGTGGGCTTGTCTGAATGGCATCTGCAGTGAGAAGCAGAGGCCGCAGTCAGTGACCAGGCAACTGGGGTGTTTTTCAAAGGAAAAAATGGATGTGCTGTCTTTTTGGTTGGCTTGTTTTCACTTAGGGCAATGTCATGTGTATCCAGGTTTGTTGACCCAGAATGATCATCACCTGGGGACAGAACAGAAGGCCTCATCTCAGGCCCTCACTGAGCAGTATTCTGTATCCAAAGGACTCACAGATCCAAATGACCCTCTGATACTTACTCCTTTACGAACCAAGTAGAGAGCCAGGTCAGTAGACAGCATCTCAGGGCTCAGCGCCTTCTCCATGTTCTCCTTGTTGATCTGCAGAAGGAGAGTCAGGGGGAGATGTTATCACCACCTTCTCCTTGGGGACATGTTAGTGGTCACAGTGAGTGTCTTCATCTGGAAGGGACCTGCCTCTGAAAAGACATTCTGACCCCCTGAACAGCTGACATTGGGGGCCATAATGAGAAACATGGGTGAGCCACTGAAGGGTCTTCATCTAAGGACAAGTCTAGAGCCCTTTTACTGTAACGCACAGAACGTGCACCCCAACCGTGTTCAATAGTGAGAGGCTGGAGCCTTACCTGGAGGGTAGAAATCACTCCAGTGGCAACCTGGAGCACAGCATTCAGGGTGTCCACAACATCAAAGACGGCCTCCTTGTCCTCCTGCGTTAGAACAGGGATGGAAATTGCCGTAAGACAACCTGATGCATCCCAAAAACCCACCGACTTGAGCAGCGCAGCCAGCAGAGCCGGCGTCATCCAGGGGCTCCTGCTTCGGCCAGGGTGTCAGCAGCAGCACGCTGTGCCTCAGCCCCTTCCCTGCATCCTACACCCAAGCAGGGGCTGTGCAGGGAGAGGTGGTGGAAGCCTGCTCAAGAGCAGAAGATGGCGGTGTCTGCTCAGAGGGATGGTGTGAAAACTGAGACCTGTTTTACCTGCAGATCCTTGTTGTAGGTACTTGGAAGTCCTTTGAGAACCATGAGAATAGCAGCCAACTGCAGAGAGAAACAGGGGAGGCAGTTACTTACAGGAAGAGAAGCACACTGCCCCGGCAGAGCTTAAGGCTTTACAGGGGGCAAGGAGGAGGAACATTCTTCATCCCCGGTAGGAGCAGCTTCCCCATCCCGCTTCTTTCTTTTGCAGGCTCACCCGTCCAAACACCCGTCCAGCCTTGCTGCGGATCAGTTCCAGGCTATCAGGATTCTTCTTCTGAGGCATCAGGCTGCTGCCAGTGCTGAAAGAAAGGTGTGTGGAGTGTAACAGTGAGCAAGACCCCAGTCCACACAGACACGGGTCATGCAGCAGACTGACCCAGCCCTCCAAAAGCAACACATCAGTCCACCTTCCCTGGACACTTGTTCAGGGTGTAGGAAGGCAGTGAACTGCTTGTGCTCAGTTTCTCATGTTTCCCACAGCAAAACTTTTGTTTTTGCAGTCTTGGCTGGAGTTAACATGGACTCCCACCTCTCAGAGAGGAAGCACCAAGGAGGCTTCCCCAAAGCCCCTCCAGAAGTTGTATCAGCAGGGTTGCTGTGAGCTCAGAGAGTGTGGCTGTGCCTCCCTGAGAGACAGGAAATCTGCCAGGCCTGCAACCCTGGGTAGCCAAGGGCGGGCTTTGGCAGGCTTTCCCGGCAGAGGAGGAAGTTCTCTCTGCCAGCAGCTGCTGGGGAGGAGTGTCTGCTGAATGCAGACTTGGTTGAGTTACCAGAATCAGAAATAAGTGATTGTGGCTGAGGAATATTCACCCTAAGGCTGCCTTTCTGCCAAAATCTTAATGCTGTGTCAGCCTTATGCAGCAGGGAGACCCCAACCACTGGCTCGTTCTCTCAGGAGGGCATTGCTGGGGAGGAGAGGCTGAGGGATGGGTTCACTGCCCAGAGACCAACCTAAAAGCATCAGAGAGTGTCAGAAAGCCAAACTCGCTGGTACTGTAGAGGATGAGATCTTCAGCCATCTTGCTAAGGTGGATCATCAACAGGGTGGCAACAGAGAGGAATTCCACTGCAGAGAAGGCAAGAAATCACAAGGTGAAAAAGGTGCTTGTTTGCTTGACAACCCAGGGAGCTCTGACTAGAGTTTAAACATGATCAGAAACAGATTCTATATAATTACTTCATAGTGAGGGACTTCAGTCCCTTAAAGAAGGTCAGCTGGGAAGGTCTCCCAAGTCTGCTTCTAAAATAGTGGTGGGAAGATGTGACTGGGTTGTGCTTACCCACAAAGTCTCTCTCACTAATGGCATCCATGCTATTAAGGCTGATGGAGGCAAAGTCCAGCTCTGTAAGGAAGGTGATGGACAGAGGAGGTCAGGTTTGGCATGTCTGGAGCTTGAATGCAGCAGGCTGCCTCAGCATGCATGTGACTGTGAGCCCTTGTTTTCCCAGGATCCTGCTTTGCAGGATCTTTATTATTAGTTGAGGTGGCCAGTGTGCAGCAAAGGTGGTTCCATTTACGCTGCCACCTTACAGGCACCTGCTGTCTCACTACAGCAAAAGCTTTCTGACTTACCGAGTCATTAGGAGCTGCCCCCATCTGTGTCACTGAGCATCAGATCATATTTTTTATTTTTTTATTTATTTATTACCCTCCACCCCCATGTTAAGTTGCAGCAACACATCCAATATAAAATCAGGATAATGTGTCAATGCTTCCCCAACTCCCATTTGTTATGAGTAGTCCTGTGCCTCTCAGTCACAGGGAGACATTTACCACTACGCAGAAGCTCTCTATCAATTTCCAGTGGGTTGCCAGCCAGAGCACCGCTGCCAGGGGAGAAAGAAACAGAAATCACACATGATATCCTGTGTATTCCAACTAAAACTGAGCTTTAGCATGCAGTGATGACACCTCTCTGAAGATTTCCCTCCCCCAGTTCATTTTGGCATCACACAGTGTGGCCTGAGACTCAGCAAAGTGAACTCTGGAGTAAACCAGTGCTCCTCCAAAGAAGATATGCTTGATGAATGTCTTGTAGCTCTTAATTTCAAGGAGGGAGGAGAACGGTATCTCTGTGGTGAGAATCTTTCCTTGGAACTCTTCTCTAGTGAGAGAAGCAAGCCTTGTGCCATTGTAGCTCTGCAGTGCATGTGGTATACAAATGCCAGTGGTTCAGGGGATGTAAAGATCTGGCTCTTGGCCATTTTGCAGAGCAATGTGAAGCCCAAGGATTACACAGAAAGTAAACTTTTTACCTTCCCAAAGGCAAAACGTTGATCCTCCTCTTCACTTCTCCCAGGCGCTCAGAGTCACGGGTCAGAGCAACAGCATGGCTAGGAAAGGACACGAGAGATGAAATACCTCAAGTCAGAAAGTGTCACCCGACCCAAGAGGTAGGAGTGGTCAAAGGATGGAGCGCACAGGGTGTCAGCCTGCACTGCCCACTCAGTGCTTGGGGGCCCTCCTGGTCAGAGCCCCACAGGCACACGGGGAGCTGCAGTTCCAGTTGGCAGGGTTAGCTCTGGTTTGTGACCACCCCCGGCTGCCCCTCAGAGGATGATGCACTTCTAGGCTCCAGCTGAGCAGGGCCCTAAGGGTGGAGAAGGCTTCCTCCAGCGAAGTGTGAGAGGTGCTTACCTGAGCAAGAACTGGCTCCATCTGATGGGCTGAGCTTTCTGCAGGTGGGTGTAGCCGGGCAAGATAACATCAATTTCTCTGCATGTGAAAGGAGAGAAAGAGGTGAGAGCAGCAGTCAGGAGAGAAGGCAGTGGCAGGCACATGCCAGGGGTTTCTGCCAAGGTCACAAAGAGAACATCTTCAGCCTGTGTTGTGCTGAAGCTGGTCTGTCTCTTCCTCACCCTTTCACCTTTCACCCTAAGCACACTGGGTTCAGATCTCCCCATCTTCCAGGGTGGTGTGTCTGCCCTAGGCTGCCCTGGAAAATTGCCTGGCATGGTAATCCCCCTGTGGCAGGCAAAGATTCCCCAGTCCACCACCGGTTTGGAGGGTGGTTTGTGAGGAGGAGAGTTAGACAGGGAGTTACCAGAGCTGAGCTTTTCCCCTACAGAACAACTTGACACATGTTCAAGTTCCCCACTCCTTCAGGTGGATTTGGTGCCTTCTGAAGCCTTGCATGGACCTGCCACCTCAACTCCTTTGCTAGGACACACTGGGGGGAAGAGGAAGGCCTCTGTGATGTGAACTGTGGAGAAAGGGGGACTGTTGCTTTCCCTGTGCTACCACACCCTGCCTGTCTGTAATGTCCTCCACAGAAGGCCCTGCTGCTGCCCTGAGTGGTGTCAGTCCAAGAGCAAGCCTAGAAGTCTCCTGGCCCTGCCAGGCCAAGGCGATGGATATGGAAAAGGTCTTACATGGCAGCACGTTCCACCAGGGTCTTAATGAGCTGCAGGAGGTGAGTGGAGATGACAGAGAGGGAATTCTTCATGAACAGCTTCAAGTCGGTCACAACCTGTGTGAGATTGGCCACCGTCAGACAAAGCAGAATGTGACATACTTAGTGACCAAATGCTGTTCCCCAGAAAGGCTTGGCAGTGTTATCCCCTCTGTGTTCTTTGTGATGGGAAGGGACATCTTCCTCTTTACCAAATGTCCCTTACCCTAGTCATTGATTTGTGAAAGCTGCAATATCTTGATTTCAATGAACAGAACCAAAGCCCATTGTTTTCAGTGGACTTC